CCTGCCTCTGCCCCTCACTCCCAGCCCCCCCAGCCTTGCCAGTACCCCTCACTCCTGACCCACAGTCCCTGGCCCCAAGTGCTGCTGATGCCCCTCACTCCCACCCCGCAGCCCTGCTTCCTCTCCCCCTCCCCCCCCCAGCACTGCTGGTGCCCCTCACTCCTGACCCAGAGACCCCCTGTCCCTCGAGCCCTGCTGCCCACACAGCTCCTGTGTGCGTGCATGCACACAGACACACACACACACACACACACACTTGCCGGAGCCCACACACAGAGCGCGTGACCCCTGCCTGTGCAGCCATGCATGCCGCACAGATTAGAGGGAATGCTGCTTGGGGCATGTGCTTAATGTAGTGATCATAGGGTTCAATGAACACAGGACTAAACAGCAACTTTTATTGTGGAGCAGTAGACAAGCCTCTGCATGCTCCTTGCCTCTAACTACCTTAGCTGAGGGATCATTTTGCATTCTTCAACCCTTCTCAATTAGGGATTATCTCTAAATTCTAATGTTTATCCTACACTGGGGACCATCTGGAAAGGCTTCCAAGGAAGGTGGTGCTCTTACTTTGGAGGTCTTTAAGAGGAAACCGGACAAGCGCCTGGCTGGGGTCACCTGACCCCAGCGCTCTTTCCTGCCCAGGGCAGGGGGTTGGACTCAGTGATCTATGGAGGTCCCTTCTGACCCTAAAAATCTATGAAATCTATGAAACCATCTGAAGGTGGAGACTAATGTGCTGTTTGAATCATTTCAAAGTGCAGCTTTCCCATGCCTGGTCTCTCCTGACCACTCCACTTTCACTGTCCTGCAAGCAATGGAGTGGTTCTAAACAAATGACTGTGTTATGTGCTCATTTTAGACTTTGGGCTAAGGTTGTAATCAGTAAAACATAGCCTGTTCCTTCTTGCTGTTGTCTATTTGTTACCGACTGAAATTCACCCAAGAAACCCAAGATGCAGAGAGTTGAGTGCTAGCAAATGGAAATGGAGGCTGAGGTCCTAGGTGGGTTAGAGAGGTTTTGAGTACTGCCAACCTCACCATGTCAGAAATCATGAGACAGACTTCAAAATCAAGAGATTTGGAATGTCAATCATGAGATCCTATTTTTGAAGAGTGTGTGTGTGTGTGTGTGTGTGTAGGTGAGAGACAGAGGGGGTGTTATTTGTGAAGGTGTGGGGGGGCTGTGAGGGGTTTGGAGCCTGGGGATGGGGGTCCCCACACACCCTGGCAGGATGCGGGGTAAAGTGGGTCAGGAGTGAGGGGCAGCACCAGGGCTGGTGGGGCTGTGATTTGGGATTAAGGGGCAGACACACACACACACACACACACACACACACACACAGCTGCCCACCGCTCTGTTGCATGACTCACCCTGGCCCCAGGGCCCCATTCACTCCAGCCCCTGCCCCACTCCTTCCCTCATCATGGGAGCCTCAGTCTGCCCCAACTATTCCTTCCCTCTCCCCCTGTCCCTTTTCCTACACATGCCAGAAGAAAAAAATCCCAAGATTTGATCTCTCTATCAGGAGATCATGAGTCAGAGTTAATTTGACTTGCAAATCAGGAGTCTCATGATTTCTTTTTCATGGGAGTTGGCATTACTGGGTTTTCCGCATCCCCAGACTCCGTCCTTGTTGGGACTCGTGCACATTCATGCTGTGGGAGAGATGGAATGATCATGGGACATACACAGGACCAGAGACTGACTGATAGTGATGATCACATAGAGACTGGGCCACTTCCCTCTGAACGGCACGTCCTTCAGGGGCTGATACAGAATGCGCTGATAACATGGGAAAACTTACATTGCTTCTCCTGTTCCTCTTCTTTGAGTACAGGACGTAGGTCTCCAGGGCTGACATCCTCTTGCTTTTACAATCATTACATTTGCTTGTCAGTTTTGAAGAAAAAAAGGAGCAGTAAACTGTTGGGCGTCTGTGCTTAATTGCTATATGATTGCATTCATTGTTCCAGCCTGAGAGACTGTAGTTACATGGGCTGATTCTTATTACGTAATTGTAGAACTATTGCCTAATTCTCTATTTTCTCTATAAGAGAAGTCACAAACTCAAAACTAAACTCTAGACAGGATAGATCATTGTTAGAGACACAAGAGCTCATTGGAGGTCTTGTGCCCTTGGCTGTGATGGGTTTAATCAACTTGTTCATATGGTAAGGACTGCTTGATGGGAGCATGACTTATTTCTTCCTCTATAATTTTAAAGAATGGTTTGCTATGTAATCAGAGGCTGGGAGAAACCTCCACCTACCTCATGGGGAGATATCTCCTGCCATTCAGATGGATGGGGCACACTGAAACAATGGCTAGTAATCATCTGTGAACAGTGGAGCTATTTGCAGTGATGACACGCAGTCAGGATCAGACAATGCAAATCACATGTGCATGGCTAACTGGAAGATACCTAATTGCTTTTCTTCGATGGGATGTGCAAGGCGCTTGAGTGTTGAGTGACAGCAGCAGGTAAGCTGTTTTATAATGGTCCT